CTGAGTTTGGGTGACAGGAACAAGCAGTCCCCTCCTCTGATGGCTTCTAAGAAGGGGGCAGAGGCGGGCTGCCCCCCGGGCAGCACCGGGCACCAGCCCCAGCTCCCTTGTTCCTGGAAAGGGCGGGGTTGGAAAGGAAGGAAGACTTGGGCCCCAGGAGCCGCCTTCCTGGCCAGGGCCCAGGACCCTCAGCTTGGAGCAGGAACAGGGACGGGCGGGAGCCCCTGTTGGGACAGGCCCTAGAATGCTGCCCTTGCCCCTGAGGGCTCAGGCCCTCCGCCTCCAGGAAGCCCCTCTTGCCTGCTCCAGCCCCTCTGATCTTTCATCCCTGGATCTCTGACAGGGAGGGCTCCCTGGGATCCCGCTGAGCCCTGGAGGGGCTGAGGCCCAGGGGAGGGGCCTCCCAGCGGGAGGGGAGACTGGCCCAGACGCCCGGCTGTGCATGAGGAGGTGAGGAGGCACGAAGCTTCTGCCTCACTTCCACGGAAGGGAACAGAGGAGGAGGAGTCCAGCCCCGGCGTCCAGGAGTGCGTTCCTGAGCCGGGGCCCTGAGCCGGGCTGCGGGCTGCGAGCTGCGAGCTGCCTCTGGGCAGGCAGCGGTGGGTGGAGCAGGTGAGAAAGGTGGTGAGGGTGGCGGGGGCCAGAGGAGAGGACTGCCCTCAGGCTAGTGGCCGCAGAGCCCGGGTCAGAGGCTGGGCCCGCACCCTCCCACTACCAGCCGCGGGAGTGGAGGCCTGCCCCCGAAACTCTTTGTGCCTCAGTTTCCCTCCTGGAAGGAAGGTAACACCAGCACCTCCTCCTGGGGCCGTGGAGAGGACCGAGGGAGTCCAGCGACAGGCCTGCTCGGGGCTGGGCCTGCCCACGGGGCGGCTCCAGAGACGAGGGGAGCTGGCCCACCCGTGGGGGCCGATCACGCACCACCCTGGTCTGCGGCTGGGAGTCGCAGGCAGACTCCGGAGCCCTGAGGGCTGGGCCTCGGCTGCTCGGTGAACACCCATGAGGGGAGGGCTCTTCCCCGGCCCCCAGCACCAAAGCACTTCTTCCACCTGCCGTGTGCACCGAACACAGACCCTGGAACGCATCCATCAACGTCCAACGTACAGAGTTGCTCGCACCGCACACACGCAAAAACCAAGTCCCGGGAGGTCCACGGCATCCTCTGCCCAAGGCCACGTGGGCACCCAATGGCACAGTTTCCTCACTTCAGGTCCAGGGCTCTTTCCTGCCCCCAAACCAAGGCAAACGCAGCCTGTCCAGCGGTGGGGGTTGGCCTGGGAAACATTCTTGGGGTGCACACGCTCCCCACACACTCACCCAGACTAAGCTTCTGCCCTGGTCACTGCTGCACCCTGACCCCGGGCCCCTCCCCAGCCGCACCCAGCATAACTGTGCTTCTGGCCTCCAGCTCCCGGGTCTGGAGCCCCGCCCCCCGCCTGCCCCTGGAGACGTCTGGTCCTGCAGGGGGTCCTCACAGCCTCAGGGCCCCAGCGGGCCCAGTGAGGGTGAGCGGGGCCCCCACAGGGGCTTCAGAAAGTAAACGGGCCTGCCTCTACTCCATCCCTATAAATTCAGAACCAGCCGGTCGGCAGTGGGGTCCAGGCTTTGGCATTTTTTCAAAACTCCACACGACTCTAAAGGGCGCTCCAGGCCTCCGCCAGGAAGCTGGTCGGAAACGCAACGTCTGTACGTGGAGAGGCACTGCCCAAAGCCAGGACCGTCCCCACTAACCCCTGGTGGGGATGGGGGTGTCCCTCCGGGCGCTGCAGCGCGTTCGAGGTGCTGGGAAGGGCACGGGCTTTGCAGGAACAAGGGAGAGGACCGCCTGGACCACGCAGGTCCCATACACGTAGCACCTAGAGGTGGGACAGTGCTGTCCAGGGTCCCCTCTCTGGTCCTCCGAGAGAGCTGGGAAGAGAGTCTCATGCCCATCTGGGAAAACTGAGGCTGGAGCAGAGACCCGACTGGACCACCCCTCACCCCTCACCCCTGTGTGCCCCATGCCCTGGGGACGGCAGTTTCCCCGCTGTCTCAGTGTGTCCTGGGAGGCAGGCACGTGGGAAGGGGAAGGGGATGGCTGTCCCAGATGACCGATGAGGGGCCGGGCCCAGACCCGGGAGTGGAGGGCAGAGCCTTCCACCAGCAGGACCAGTGTCCCGGGCCGAGGGCGCAGGGAGCTAAGGGGTTAAGGGTCACTACGGCCCCTGGAGCTCTGCTTCTGATGGACAGAATGTCATCCTTCTCCTCCCCTCGGGGGCTGGCTGAGGGGTGAACCTGGGGTCCCTGCCAGCAGCCCCGAGACTGGGTCCCAGGAAAACACCGTTGCTCCTGAAAGGCCTCCCCACCCGGGAGAGGAAGTCTCCCTGCGTCCCCACCGACGCACCCACGCCGTGAGCCCCTCTGTGCTGGGGAGGGAGGGCAGGCCTGTCGCCACAGCTCACGCAGCAGGACGGGGGGGCAGGACAGGAGCGTGGCGGGGCAAGGTCCTGCCAGCATCCTTGGGGAAGGGTCAGGAACGATGGGGACAGGGAGCAGGACGAGTCGCTGGCCGCCTGGAGGGTCTGTCAAGGGCAGAGGCCTGCTGTCTTCACCAGTGACCCCTCCCCCTCCAAACTCCCTGCTCTCCAGGGATGAATCTGGGGCCTCTGCCCTCCCCTGCTGGAGAAGGCTGGGTCCCCAGGGCCTGGGACGGGATGGAGGGGGAGCACAGTCGCCAAAATGTGGGCGGATGGAGGACAGTGGTCACGACAGGGGGTCCCGCCCCCACAGCCCGGGGCCTCAGACAGCCCTTCCCCCGCCACGGCAGGCCCACCTGCCTCGTCCAGCACCTCTCAGCACACAGCCCAAGCCCAGCCCTGAGGACACAAGAGGAGGGAAGGACGGAGAGAGAGAAACAGAGGGAAGGGGAAAGAGAGCCCCCCCCACCGTCCGTCCCCCGGGGCTTCTCCGCAGACCCAGAGCGCCCACGGCCGCCCCCACCCCCATCCTGGCACAGCTGGGCCGAGGAGGGCGAGGGCGGGGCGGGAGTCGGAGAGGGAGCTGTGGGACCCCGCGCCCGCGTCCTACCCTGGGCGCTTGCCCTCCGCTGCCGCCCCTCCCTGCCCCAGGGGGTCTCGGGACGGAATCTCAGGCACCACAGCGGGCAGGGGGGCCCTTCCCTCCAAGAGGAGGAACCCGGGGTGGAAGGATGAACGGGGACCCACCGGGATCGAGAGATGCCAGGCAGGCGGGCGGCGGGCGGGCGGTCGGGCGGGCAGCAGCAGCGGGTGCTGGCGGCTGCCGAGGGCCGCCGGACATGGCCGGCTGGGTGCTCGTCCCTCCGTCCCTCTGTCCATCCAGGGCGGCTCCTCTCTGGGCGGCTCTGAGGCCGGGCGGGCGCTGTTAAAAAGCTTTTTATGTGTGTGTGTGTTAATCACATGATTGCCGTTCACCTGTATTCCGAACAAAGACGGCTCACTGTTTCAAGGCCCCGAACAAGAGTCTGGGCACAGGGAAGAGAAGGGAGGCGGGGGGAGGAGGGTTGGCAACGCCGGGGGTGGCGTCGAGGAAAACTGGGGGGAGATTGTGCAAGGCCAGCGAGCAAGAGAAAGAGAAAACCCTTATCAAACTCCTAATTCACTGGGCTCCGAGGCCCCAGACACACTGGCCCGATTGTCTGGCTGGTTGTGTGTGTGCGAGCGTGCGTGTGTGTGTGTGTGTGTGTGTGAGTGTGTGTGTGTTCCGATGTCCGCTCCCCCCACCCCCAACATGCCTTCGCCTCGTGTGACTACCTCATTGTGTCCCACTACGCCCTCCCCTCCACCCCCTTGGCCTTTCCCAAGCGTGAGCTCTCGCCCAGACCCCCTTCCAGCCCCACTCCAGACGGGACTCCCTCGGGCCGGGCCCGGGGCCTGGCCCGGCTGCCGAGGAGCACAGGACCGTACCTGGTCACCAGTGCAGCCCAGGCTCCAACAACGGTCCCTCCACGCAGCACACTCAGGCCTCTGCCTGGACACCCACCCACGGAGGAGAGAGGGAGGACATGACCTCTGAGGGAAGAGCTAGGAAAGAGGAGAGAGAGAGGAGTCCTGGGCGATGGGCAAGACAGAAAGATGGAGGAGACACCCGCTGGGGAGGAGGCTGAGGGGAGAAGGGCACCGAGGAGGGAGCAGGGGTGGGGCCATGCCCCACCCTTTCTGGGGAGTGGGGGACTTCATGATAACCAGGCCTGGGACTCCCCCCCTCCCACCCCCGCCAAGGGAGGGTGAACCCAGTGTGAAGGGAGACAGGCCCCAGGACCCTTCCAGACCCACTTGGAGAGGACCCTCGGCCACCAGCCCAGCCTCCTGGTAGTGTCAGTTCTGTCTGTGCCCCTTAAGCCAGCCCACCTAACGCGTGCTGGGTGTTCGGTGAGAAGGCACCGGGGTCCAGCCGGGCCACCTGTGCCAGGCAGGCAGGCACGGGGTGTGGAGCTGCCCCCTGCCATCCCAAGTAGAGACCCGGGTCTCTGTGAGTCGGGGCAGAGAGGGCAGCCGTGGGGGGGGGGGGGTGAGACCGCCAGGAAGCGGGGCCTGGGCACAGGTGCCCCGTGAGACGCCGAGCGAAGCAGCACCAGCCAGCCACCCTCCCTGGGTCAGCAGAACCCTCGCCGGCCTTCTCACCGCTCCTCCACCTTTTGCCAGCTGCCAATCTGGCTACCTGAGGCAGGAGTTGGGGAAGAATCATGGTTAGACCCAATTTTCCTTCAGACAACAGGTTCCGACCCCACCCAGGAGCATCCCCTGGCTTTCCCCGCCTGGCCACCCCCACTCCCGCACCTCCCTGAGCCGGGCCTGGGGCGGCAGTGCAGGCGGCCGGGGTGGGGGGGCCTGGCTGAGGAGCCCTGAGTATCGGGGATGAAGGAAAGCGCTGGAGGCTCCACCTTCTGCCCTCCCCTCCCTCCCCTCCCCCTCCCCCCTCTCCCCCTCCTTCCTTCCCCAGCCCTCGGCGGCAGCTCAGTGCTCAGTCAGTCTCGGGCTGTCCGGCCAGGGTGGTTGGTGGTGAGGATTCAGGCTCCGTCCTGACGAGGCCGTGGCCTGAGCCTCAGGGCCCCTCAGCCCCTCCCTCCCAGCCCACCAGCGTCAACCCCCAGCCCCGAGCTGGACCGCACACCTTGGGACACGGTTTTCCACTTCCTAAGGACGAGCCCCAGGCCGGAGGAGAGGTCCGAGGAGGTGAGTGAGTGCGCAGCCCTCTCCTCCCGTCCGCGGCCCAGGCCTGGGCCCCTGCTGTGAGGCCTGGGGTGGGGAGAGGCTGACCGCCCCCCCCCCGCACCTGCCCCCCACTCAGCTCCTCTGGACTGCGCAGGGGCAGGCGGAAGGGAGGAAGGAAAGGTGAAAGAAAAGGTGGGAAATTCCAGGAGCCAGGATTAGAGGAGAAAAAAAAAAGAGTCCATTTTTCTTCCTTTCCATCAACAAACCTCCACCCTAAAGGAGGTTTAAAAAAAATCCCAAACCCACCCACACCAAGAGACGGTTGGGACCAGGTAGTGGGAAGACGTGGAGGCAGGAGCCAGGAGGCCGAGCCGGGTCTGGCATGTGCGCGTGGCCTGGGAGCTACAGTAGGTTTAGGGGGAGCAGGGCGGACGCCACCTCGGGGCTGCGCCCGCGTCACATCCCGGGCCACCGTCCGGGCTGCGCGCGCGGCCGCTCCATCGCGCCCTCCTTCCCCGTCCAGGTGAGCGTGGGACTCTTCGCGAGGACGCCGGAGGCGGGCCCCGGGGAGGCGGCCGAGGCGGCGGCGGCCGGGGGCGACATGGCGGAGGAGCAGGACCTCTCCGAGGTGGAGCTGAGCCCCGTGGGCTCCGAGGAGCCCCGCTGCCTGTCCCCGGGTAGCGCGCCCTCGCTGGGACCCGACGGCGGCGGCGGCGGCGGGGGATCGGGCCTGAGAGCCAGCCCGGGGCCGGGAGAGCTGAGCAAGGTCAAGAAGGAGCAGCAGGACGGCGAGGCGGACGATGACAAGTTTCCTGTGTGCATCCGCGAGGCCGTCAGCCAGGTGCTGAGCGGCTACGACTGGACGCTGGTGCCCATGCCGGTGCGCGTCAACGGCGCCAGCAAGAGCAAACCGCACGTCAAGCGGCCCATGAACGCCTTCATGGTGTGGGCGCAGGCGGCGCGCAGGAAGCTGGCCGACCAGTACCCGCACCTGCACAACGCCGAGCTCAGCAAGACGCTGGGCAAGCTCTGGAGGTGAGCGCACCCGCCGCCCGCCGGGACTTCCCGCGGGCCCTCCAGCTGCGGGCGGTTCAGGCCGGTCGGGGACTCCTCGGGCCCTTGTTGGGGGCCAGCCATCTCCTGATGGGGCTAGAAGACCAGGCGTGGGCATCGGGCCCGCCCTGCCCCCCCACAAGTACCCCCTTTTGGTGGTGCTGGCTCAGAACTCCCGAGGCCTAGTCTGGCTCCCCACCCGGGGCAGCGGGCAGAAAGGCGCCCCCTCGTGGTTGGAATTCTGTCGCTGGCAGGCGGTGGGGCCTGGGCTTCTGCCTGGGGGAGACCAGGCTGGAGGCAGGGAGGACGGCGGCGCAGGCCTGCAGGTGCCCGCACTCAGGGGTGCCACTGCCACCCGTGCTGGGGAAACGCTTGGCCAAGAATGGCAGGGAAACTGAGGCAGCCAGGTGCAGAAGTGGTAGAAGTTCCAGGCAAGCGAGGCGTTCAGACAGGAGTCTTTGGAAGAAGGAGGAGCGGGCAGTGCTGAGGGGCAAGTCTGTGGGGCAGGAGGCCGTCCCACCCCCGCTGCTCGCCCTGCGCCCTCCTGACCCCACCCTCTTCCCTGTCCTGGGGCTTCTTCATCCCCCAGGGGAGGGGACACACAGGCAGGAGCCTCCCCCTCCCACCCCGTCCCAGAGGCTGACCCTCTCTCTCTGGCCCCCCACTGCCTCTCCCAGTCCGGCGCCATCTTCCCTTCCAGGGCCCCACCCAGCCTGGAGTAACCTCCTACCCTCCGCCCTGACGCTGGCCCTGAGAGCCCTGGCCCAGAGGGACCCTCGGCTCCCCTCCCACCCAGGGCCTCTCGGACTCCCAGTGTCCCTGGGACCAGCCCAAACCCCAGGGGAAAACATCCCCCCAAGGCGGAAGTCTGCCAGCCCTCTACTCCGCCTGGCCTCCTGGGGGACACGTTGAGCAAGGCGATGCCACCCCCACCCCCCACCAGAGTCCCCGGCAGCTCGCAGAGGGAACAGGGACTCCGGGACACGCCCGGTTCCCCACCAGGCGGCCCCGGGCGGTGGCATGGGCCTCCCAACTGCAGCTGGCAGCGCCAGGGAGCCAGGGCCAGGACCCGGGACCCCTAGTTCCCGCCCAGGGTCTCCCCCCATGCCGTCCCTGGTGACGGTGGTGGGGCACCTTTTCACTCTGACATGTGCTCGGGAGGGTGGGGGCAGAGAAGGGGAGAGCGGAAAGTCCGGGCTGTGTCCGAGGAGGCCGTGGCCCGCCGGCCCTCCCGCTGCCGTGGCCCCTTGCCGGCCCGGCACAGAGTAGACTGGGTCCTGGGGGCCAAAGGCTTGGGGGGCTGGCAGGAGCTGGAGGGCTTCCAAGAGACCGAGAGGGGTTCTCGACATGCAGCCCCGGCCCGTCCTTGGCCGCGTGTTTGCGGGAGGCCTGCTGCCCTCCTCGCCCCCCCAGCCCTGGGCTCTCTGCTCCCCCCCCCCCCCCCGGGCAGGCCGCGGGCCTCATACCCGGAGGGTCTGGCTGTGCCCGAGAGCAGGGGCGGCGTGCAGCCCCTCTGCCCGGGGCCCGTCACGCCCGCGCAGGGCTCGGCCCAGGCCAGTCCGGCCGATGCCACGGCCCGAAAAGGGCAAGTGAGAGACAGACGAGCAGGAGGGAGAGCGGCCGTGGGGTCGGCGAGCACACCACAGGGAACGCCCAGCGAGAGCGCTAGAGCCAGGAGGGGCCCCACTTCTCCCTTGCCCCGTGGACAGGGACTTAAGATCGGACCCCCTGTTGTCCCTGGCCCTCTCCCCCCGGCCCAGGACCCCAGGCTTGGGCTCCCTCGGGAGGACTCATTTCCGGCCACCACTCCCGATGTGATGAGCACAGGCGCTCAGGGTGCCCCTGAGCACCCAGCTGGGGCGGGGCAGTCAGGAAAGCTGGCCCAGCCCCCAGCCCAGGGGCGGGGGCGGCAGGCCAGGGCCGAGGATCAGAGAGTGTGCCGACCTGCGGGCGGGCTCCCTGGACCCTGAGGGGCATCCTGGGATCCTGGGATCCTGCGACTCGGACCAGGCATAGTACAGCTGTCTCTCCATGGGCTCCTCCTGGGTCCCCTCCAGGGTCATGACTCCTGAGCCATCGGGAAGGGGGTGACTCAGTAGGCAGAACTGGAAAACAGGGGCCCTGACCCCCAAAAGAGAGAGACAGATGGGCAGACTGCGTGGGGTGCTGGGAGGAAGTGGGGGTCAGATACGCCGGCCGGCGTCCAGGTCCTGGGTCCTGGCTGCCGAGTCGCTGCCCGGGTCCCACAGCTGCACGCAGCCCGGGGCTCACCTGGGAGCGGACGCCGAGAGGCGGACCACGTGGGGCTGTGACCTGCCTGGGGAGAGTGATTAGAGCCAAGAGACGAAGCAGGGGTCCCAGGCCCCTTCCCTGGTGGGAGGAGCAGGCGGAGCCGCAACCAGGGCCCCACCTTGGGAGCCCCCCAGGCTGGGGCCTCCAGTTTGGGGGGGAACCAGTCTACCCTTTCCCCTGCCCCCATTCCAAACCTCAGAGACCCAGAGGGCAGAGGGGAAGCGAAGGTGCCCAGGAGGGTTGGGTGCTCAGGCAGAGCTGTGGGCGATGCGGGCGGGGCGGCCGCGCTGAGTGAGTGAGGGCTGCACTGGAGCCAGGGGCAGCCTGGGATGATGGGGTGCACGCGCTGGGGCAGGATGGGTGTGGGGTCGGGGGAGGCCAGGCTTGTGGTCCGAGGTGGGGTTGGCCTCTCCAGCCCCCGAGGGCGGGGCGGCGCTGGGGCAAGGGCTGGTGTGGAGCGGGCAGAGCAGGTGGGCTGGAGGTTAGGTTTCTGTCAAAGTTAGGGTGCTGGGAGGAGCAAGCACGGGACACGGGACGGGACAGGGGGATGCGATGCTGGAATCTTCCCTCTCTTCGGCCCGCACCCTCCCTCCGTGCCCCTGCCATTTTCTTGCTGATTCACGCCCGATTGGCAGCTGGGCGGAGAGTGCACTGGGTGTCCGCGCGGGCTGGGCCTGCTCCTCACCTTCCTGTGCGGTTCTGTCCACTCCCCTGCCCTCCCCTGTCCCCTTGCCCAACCCCCACACACCCGGTGTCCCAGAGACCCGGCTGGGGGGAGGTCAGCACCCCCCTCCCTGACCCCCAGGCCCGGATCTGGAGTCCCTGCTGGTCCCCCATCACTCAGCTAGAGGGACCCCTGGACAAAGCCGGGCCAGGGCTGGGCTGGGGCCTGGGGAGAGGGGGCCTCGGGGGAGGCTAAGCTGCAGAGGAATGCTGCTGCCCGCTAGGAGGTGCCTGGTGTGACCACCCCCTCCCAGCCTGGGCCGGAGGGCTCAGCCTGTTGCTGACTGGGGGAAGAGGGTGCCCACTGTGGGGAGGGGGGCTAGAGAGGGCGGCCTGTCGGGCAGAGAACGGAGCCCCTCATGTCTAGGATTCCACAGGTCTGTGTTCTTTCTCCTCAGCACCCTCTGCAAGGCGCCCCATCCGGCCCTCCTCTCTCTGGAGCAGCCGAGCCCTGACCACCCACCCTCCCCACCCTCCAGCCCTGGCGAGGGCCCGGTGGGCAGGGGCAGCTCCTACAGGGCTTCCCTCCGCTGCTGGCTGGGGAGGGGGTCTGGCTTTCTGCACCCAGCCCCCTGTCAGCCCAGCATAAGGCGCTGCTTTCCCCACACCGGGCAGCGAAAGTGCTCACATCCCACCCCTCGGCCCCAGCACACGGGAACCCACAGAACCAGAACTCCAGGGTGAGACGGGCCCCCAGGCCCTCCTGTCCAACCAGCCACCTCAGAGCAGCACCTCTGGGTCAAGCGCCAGCCCCACCCAGGCCTGGAGCAAAGCGCTTCACGCCCGTTACTGCCTCGGCCAGTCCCGCACCCGGGGAAGTGGGTGTTGTCATCCTCGTTTTGTAGGTGAAGAAACTAAGGCTCAGAGAAGGGCCTTTCCCATGGCCACACAGCTAGGAAGTAGCCGAGACTGGGCTCTCCCCCTCACCGTGATGCGTCTGTTTGCACACCTCTAGTCCCGGGGAGCTCACCCCCTGACGAGGCAGCCAGCTCCATCCAGCCTCGATGATGAGACAGTCTCCCACTGACGTCTGCCCCTCCTAAGCCCTCTTGGTACTTCCACCTTCACCCCAGGGGCCACCAGGAGCAGCAGGCCGACCCCTGCTGCACCCCAGCCCCTGAGAGATCTGGGGTGAGGTCAGCCCCCCCCCCAGCCTCACACCTGCCAGTCCCCGAATCACAGGGCAGGCCTCCCCGGCCTCGGGCTTCGCTGTTTCCCAGGGAAGACGCTCACGCTCTCTGCCCCCCGCCCCCGCCCCCCGCCTCAGGCTGCTGAACGAGAGCGACAAGCGCCCCTTCATCGAGGAGGCCGAGCGGCTGCGGATGCAGCACAAGAAGGACCACCCGGACTACAAGTACCAGCCGAGGCGGCGGAAGAACGGCAAGGCGGCCCAGGGGGAGGCCGAGTGCCCCGGCGGGGAGGCCGAGCAGGGCGGGGCGGCCGCCATCCAGGCCCACTACAAGAGCGCCCACCTGGACCACCGGCACCCGGGAGAGGGCTCCCCGATGTCGGACGGGAACCCTGAGCACCCCTCGGGTGAGCGCTGCGCCGGCAGCTGGGATGGGGGGCGCGGGGTGGGGGGCGGCGAGCCGCGGGTGGGGGAGCCCGGGCAGTGGGGAGGGGTGAAGGCCGGGTGAATGGCGGGAGCCCCTGACGCCCCACGGTGGCCCTGGGCCCTGGGAAGGCTGCACGGTCACCCCCGCTGGGTGCAGGGGCCCAGAAGGAGCTCGGCGGGGACCCAGGGGCCAGGGAAGGCAGCCCGGCAGGACAGCTCTGGCTGACGGGAGGGGGCACTGTGTGCTGCTGGGTGAAGGCACCAGCTGAGGGGGCCGTGGGGCGAGCCACAACCAGGAAGGAGGGGACAGGCCGAGCCTGAGGGACGGGGGGCCGGATGGAGAAGAGACCCTCGCCTCTCGCGCCTCCCGGGCTGGTGGGGGAGACACGGCACGTGACCTTGCACACGGGCCGAGCCAGGGCCAGACCCGGCGTCTTGCTCGTTCTCATTAATGGTGGTAACGGCCAGCATTAACTGAGCACCTACTGTGTGCCAGGCACTGTGCCAACTGCCTTACGTGTACACTCACTCACTCAGTCACTCTAAACTGGGGGGAGGCGGCCGCTCTGCCCGGGCTCAGGCCTCAGCTGTGAGGCCACGTGCGGGGGTGGAGGTCTGACCCCGGGCGCTCTGGCTCCGGGGCCTCTGCTGGCGCCCCGGCTGCCTCGCTTGGGTTCTTACTGTGCAGAATGCCGTGCGTGGGTCGGGCCCCGGGACGTCTCGGAGAGCAGAGCTCCGCCCTCGGAAGACACGTCCCGAGCCCTCCCCTGTCCCCGCCCGGCCGGGAGCACACACTTGGAAACCAGGGCCCAGAGGGAGCCGCAGCGAGCAACAGGGCGCACTAAGTACGGGGAGGGGCGAGTGCGCACAAGGCCCCGCCCACGGCGGCTTGATCTCCAGGGAGGAGTCCCCAGCACTCCTTCGTCAGGTCTCCCCAAACCTCCAGACCCCGGCCTGGGAAGGCCTCGGGAGGGGGGCCGTGCTGGAGCTACTGGGTGCGGCCTCGGTTCACCGACGAGGAACTAGTTGAGAGAGGACAGGGGCCTGCCCAGCTCACAGGACTGAAGCCCAAAGCCCAGGACACGTGGCCGGCGCAGGACCTGGCCTTTCCTCTGGTCTGCTGGACGGGGCACAGGCCTGCCCTGTAGGAGCTCTGGTCTCTCTCTTACAGGCCCCCAGCCCAGCCATCCCTACCCCTCCACACACACACACAGGCCACCCTCCGAGATTCAGAAACACCCCCCGCACACGTGCGCATGTGCCCCACCCTCCAGAAGACCCTGCGCCGTGTGCAGGGTATTCACCAGCTCAGACTGTAACTGTGGGCACGGGCTTTTTCTCGGCCTTCAAGGCTCAGCTCTGTCGGCTACCTCTCCTCGGTGAGGCCTTTGCCAAGTCCCCAGGGCAGGGCGAGTGGCTTCTCCTGCTGGCCTCCTGACCCTCTGCACGCCCTGCCATCACAGCGCTGCTGGTGCGGCCCTCCGGCCACGGGTGGGTCTCAGGACCCCCAAGCCTCCGAGCTTGTGAAGACAGCGACACAGTTTATTTGCACCTGTGCCCCTGGGCCCGGCAGTGTTTGGGGACTGAGTGTGTGATGCGAAAATGGACGGGAGAGCCAGGGTGGAGGTGGTCCATGGCCTCGGGGCTCTCCTGAACCGGGGTGGGGGGGGAGCTGCTGGAAGAGCCCAGGCAGCAGGGTGTGTGCAGGGGGCAAGAGCATGGCGGGGGCCCAGCTCCGAGGGAGGGTTTCCTGGAGTAAGGGGCCTTGGGAGGAGGAAGGGGGTGGGACGGGGTAGCGCCGTTCGGGAGCCAGGGCAGGAGGCGCAGGGAAGCCGGCAGAAGTGGAATGGGGAGTCGAGGGCAAGGTCAGCACGGGAAGCAGCCCACAGGCTCAGTGAGCATGCGCAGAGGGGGGCCAGCGAGCTGCGGGATGGGGGGTGGGGGGGTGGAGCAAGACCCCAGCAGCTCGCCGGCGCCCCTCTGCGCATGCTCCCTGGGCTCAGCAGCTAAGGGGCCGCGGGAGCAGGGAGGGAAGCGACTTTAGCTGATGTGAGGAAGGACTTTCCGGCGGCGAGGTTTCCCAAAAGGAAGCGGTCTCTCTGGAGCGAGGGATAGAGGGGGTCCTGCTGGGGGGTGGGGGGAGGAAGGGCCCATCTGTAAGAGTGGGGGTTTCAAGAAAACCCGGAGGCCCGCCCACGACCGTTACGTAAACACCCGCCGGCCGAGGCTGCGCAGACGTGTGAGACGCGCACGGTCACGCGGCCTCGGCCCTCAGTCTCCTGGAGGCGTCTTCCCCGAGACAGGACCGTCGGGACCCGGGAGTCCGACCGATCTCACTCCCCGTTGCTCTCTGCCTCCCTCCCGCCCAGGCCAGAGCCACGGCCCGCCCACCCCGCCGACCACCCCGAAGACGGAGCTGCAGCCGGGCAAGGCGGACCCCAAGCGGGACGGGCGCTCCCTGGGGGAGGGCGGGAAGCCGCACATCGACTTCGGCAACGTGGACATCGGGGAGATCAGCCACGAGGTAATGTCCAACATGGAGACCTTCGACGTGGCTGAGTTGGACCAGTACCTGCCGCCCAACGGGCACCCGGGCCACGTGGGCGGCTACTCGGCGGCCGGCTACGGGCTGGGCAGTGCCCTGGCCGTGGCCAGCGGACACTCGGCCTGGATCTCCAAGCCGCCAGGCGTGGCCCTGCCCGCGGTCTCTCCCCCGGGCGTGGATGCCAAAGCCCAGGTGAAGACGGAGACGGCGGGGCCCCAGGGGCCCCCGCACTACGGCGACCAGCCATCCACCTCGCAGATCGCCTACACCTCCCTCAGCCTGCCCCACTACGGCTCCGCCTTCCCCTCCATCTCCCGCCCCCAGTTCGACTACTCTGACCACCAGCCCTCGGGACCCTACTACGGCCATTCGGGCCAGGCCTCCGGCCTCTACTCGGCCTTCTCCTACATGGGGCCCTCGCAGCGGCCCCTCTACACGGCCATCTCCGACCCCAGCCCCTCGGGGCCGCAGTCCCACAGCCCCACGCACTGGGAGCAGCCGGTATACACGACGCTGTCCCGGCCTTAGAGGGGCCCCCGCCACTCCCCTGCGCGGCCGGTCTGGGTAGCGCGCCCCTTTCCCAAGCCCTCGTGCCCCGTTCCTCGCCCGTCTTGGGCCTGGGGGTGGCTGGGGAGGAGGCTGCGGAGGCTGACAGCTGAGGGGAGGCTTTCAGCCTGGTTCACTACCTTCCATGACCCCCGCCCCGTCCTGCCCGGAGGCCCGCACGGCTGGGCCGGGCCGAGGAGAAGGAGGGTGATTGTCACCCCAGACAGGATGACCCTCGATCCCAGGACCCGGGAAGGGCCTGCTCACCCCGCTGTGGGAGCAGGGAAGCGTCCAGGGTCGGATGGGGATCGGAGGCCGTGCCATTTCCGGTGCCTGCATTTTCTCTCTCGTGGGGGATAAGGGGCCTGACACGACCCGAGCCACCTGTGCCACCTGCCTAAGGTCAAGGCCAACCTGAGACCTGCATCTGTGGCTGGAGTGGGCTACATCTGCCCTCGGGGGCTGGGGACAGCTTTGAACAGCCTCAGAGGGTGTGGGGGTCGGGTGGGGATTCAGAGGAAGGTCTCCGCATCCCCCCCCCGTGCCCCGCCCCTCCTGAGCACAGAAAGGAATTGGCATAGAGGCCCCCAGGTCCAGTTCTATGCCAGCCAACCACCTCATTCTTTGTCTCATCAAGAAAGAGGGCCCCGGGTCCTCCTCCACGGGGACCTCCCAGACCTTTAGGTGAGGAAAGGACTCGGAGACAATTCGCAGAGCCTCCCCCCCCCCCGCCAGCCCCCTTGTCCCTCCCCAGGCTCTGTGGCCCCTGCTCCCAGCCCCAGACTCCGTGGGCTCCCCAGAGCGCTCAGCCGCCCAGGCCCGCGCCCTCGGCTCCAGGAGGCCGGGCAGGGCCCAGCACGCGGGTGGCTGGCAGCAGGCCGAAGACACTGAACTCCTGCCGTGTGTGTTCCGCCCCGGCCGCCCGCCCTCTGCTCCCCAGTGGTATCCGAATAAAGTATGTAGCTCTGTCTGCCCCCATCTCCCTGTTCTGCAGCCCCCACAGTCCACATGTAACTCATTACTGCCCCCTCTTATTTATCTCGGTAGCGCCCTCTGCCCTCACCCCTCTCCTAGGTTCTCCAGCCCCTATTAACTCTGCATTAAGCATTCCACGTAATAAAATTAAAGGTTCCAGTTACCTGCCTGGTGGGCCTGAACTGGCCTGTCTCTTGGTCTCTCATCCCTGTGCCTGTGCTTCCCCAGACAGTTTCTGGAAGTGGCTAGGGGCGGACTGCAAAGGAGAGCTGACCCAGGGGTCTCCTCTCCGCCCCAGGATGGTGGAGGCAACACGGTGGGGTCCGTCTGCGCTCAGGGGCCGAGGCCTCGGACGGGAGCTGTCCCCCGGCCCAGCTGTGCCCACGCTGCAGGCGGGCCACTCCCTGCCTCGGGCTGGAACTCAGCCAGGGCGCCTGCCAAGCAGCCTCTCTGCTGGCCCAGCGGAGAGGGGCTTGCGAAGAATTGGACACAGGTATTGGAAAGACAGGCCGCTCAGGCCTGACCTCTTGCAGTCTGGCCAGCTGGAGCCGGCCTGGTCCTTTAGGATGTGTTGCTGGGCCTTTTCTCTCTGCACCTCTCCACTTTCCACCTCCTGCAACATGCAGGCACATGCGTGCACGCACGCCCGGCCACTCCAGGGTTTGCTGGTGGTCCCAGCAGTTGCCCGGGTCTGAGGGTAAGCCCAGGGTAGCGGGTATGCGGCCTAACCCTTCAGTGCCGGCTCCCTAAGAGCTCCTTCCTCCGCTGAAGGTGCTGGGGGCCAGGAGCCACTCCGCCCAAGGAACGGGGTGACTGTCTTCACTGCAGGCCCCGCTGTGGGGGGGGTCCGACGGCTGGGAGGCTCCCTTACACCCCGCTGACAGTGCCGACAGGAGTGACTGCGGCACCCTGAGTGAGTGTTCCTGGGCCGAGCGCTTCCTGTCGCTCGAGCCCGTGAGGGAGTGGGTCCGATCTCCAGCCCCACTTTCCAGGCGGGGAGGTGACGCTTTGGGAGGGTCTTGCTCTGCTCAGGGGTGCAGGTGCCCCGGCTCCACCCTTCCGCTCTGCGGCCCGACCTCCACCGTCACTCCGCAGCGCTGCCCTTCCCACCACTCCGGACCGGTGGCCTCGGCTCCCCTGCCCGCTCTCCCCTCCCGGCCAGGACCTGGGCCTGGGCAGGGTCGGAGGGCAGCACCAAGGCCTAGCCCAGCCCTCCAGGGCAGCCCTCATGGGAGCTCCACCAAACCCAGACCACCCCCAGACCTCGGGCTCCACGGAGCTCGGCGGTGGCCACAGACCCGCCCGCTTGGATGGGTGGACGCTGCCTGCTGCCCAGTCAGGTCGCCCCGAGGCACGTGGTTTCTGGGGTCTTGTTTTGTTGTAGATGCACGCAGGATTTTTTTTTTAAAGATTTTATTTATTTTTAGAGAGGGGGGAGAGAGAGAGAGAGAAACACCAGTGTGAGGTTGCTGGGGGCTGTGGCCTGCAACCCAGGCATATGCTCCGACTGGGAATCGAACCTGCGACACTTTGGTTCGCAGCCTGCGCTCAATCCACTGAGCTATGCCAGCCAGGGTGAGCATAGGATTTTATACTGATCTCTAACAGATTTCATCTTGCTGGAGTTGCCCATTTCTCACCTACATTACACCTTTGGAACCCCGAATACAACTTATTAGCGCTCCTACTGAGCTCATGTGTGAACAGAGCTGACTGTCCCCCAGCAAGTTGCCAGTATAAAAGGCGGAAAGGCAGAGAAGCAGGCCCTGCGTGCACCACTAAATCCCCCCCCCCAGCTCTGCTCCCTGCACTCTGAAGGGAAGACGGGCGAGCAGTTCTGAATCTGACTGTACCCCGTGAAATGTACCCCCCACCGTAGCATAGAGACTGCCTGACGCCGTACCGCCAAGATGTGTTGTGTCCTGACCTACCAGACCGGCCACCGTTGGAAAAAACAAAAGTGGGTTCAGCTGGCAGCGTTCTCAGAACCCTGGTGCTGGCTCCTGGATGTCTCCTCTGTACCGAGGTGCTGTCCCACGTGCAGTGGCCCGTCCTAGAACTGCACTGCGGGTCCATCAGCACGACCCTCGTGTGCTCAGGACTCTCACAACCCGCCCCTTCACCTCTGCCGAAAACCAGGGTACCCGCCCGTCTCAGGGCAGTCTGCTCCCCGCCCCTGCTCTCTGGGGCCTCCGCGCGTCACAGACTGACTGGGAGTCAGTCGCCGGGGACACGGGAAGAGGGGAGATGGCCCCACAGAGGACGAGGGACCCTGGAGGAGCAGGAAGACCTGGCTCGCGCTCATCCCTTGGACCCAAGGGTCCAGATGCGCTGGGCCCTCCGTCAGGCGGGGACCGCGGGCACAGGGTGGAGGGCACAGGTGCTCCTGGGGAGGACTGCGGACTACGCTCAGGCCCGGCCAGCTGAGTAGCGAGGGACAGTCTCCCTAAAGGAGGAGCAGGATGGACAGGAGGCGGCGGGAGGAAGAACACCCCTTGTCCATCCTCCCATCCCCTAAGGGTTAACCCCCACCCCCTGCCCCAGCGCCCCTCCCCCACAAACCTCATCTCCCTTAATCACATCTGATACTGAGCGGCCCAGCGGGAACAAAGAGGCCATTTAGAGAAACGGGGCCGAGAAAGTGACCCCCGCACCCTGGGGCGGCCGCCTGGACGCCAGCACAAAGGCGGCATTTCAGAGCTGAAATTTCAGCACCCAACTTGATTAAAGGATTCCACAGGCCTGGGGGAGGGGGGAAGGGGGTGCGAAGTCCACTGCTCCCCGAGTTAACCCTTCTCCAAGGTAGCAAATACCCCTCCCGGGGCTGCTCAGGACCCCCACCCAGCCTGTCCAGTGCGCACCCACCCTGGGGGCCTGGCCTGTTGCAGAGGTCAGGCTAGCCTGGCTCCTCCCCTCCCTGCGAGGGCAGCCGGCAGCAGGGCAGAGGTAATCACGACTGGAATATTCGGGCAGCCAAGTTCCCCTCCTGTCTCTGCCGGGGTCCATATAAACCCTGCCCCTGCAACCCCACCCTCCCTGGAGGGAGGGACCCCTGTGGCTGGTCTCAGTGCAGGCTGGGCAAGCGGGGTGAAGGGGGCTGGGCCCATCAGAACCTAGGACAGAGGATGAGGGCCCCACTCCTGATTCACGGCCACGCCTCAGACCCAGGAGCCCTGCGTCCCTGCCCACTGTGACCCTGGCGCCCGCCCCAGTCAAGGCCTCAGAGGGTCACAGAGCCCACACAGAGGGGAAGGACATGCTCCATCCAGAGGCCGGGGAGGAGAGGGTGTGGGTGGGGCAGACCAGAGGCGGGCCCTGGAGAGCAGTGTGCAGGCCGTGGCCTGAGGAGTGGGGACAGGACGGAGCGGGCGGGCGGGCAGGCAGGCAGGTGCCGTGTCCCTGCTCCAGCTGACGCACCCAGCAGGGTGCTGCTCGGGGAGGGTGGAGATCCCCAGGTCCCCAGCTTCCTGCTGGGCCGCTGCTCCTGAAAGGGGATCCGAGCCCATGATAAGGGGCTCGAGGCGGGTCCTCAGGAAACAATGGGTGGCTTGATGGGACCTGCTCTGTGATACTCCTGAGAAGGGAGAAGCCCCTGCAGCCAGTCCCCACTGGAAAGGAAATTGGGGGTTTCCATGGAAACCAGCTCCCTGGGCACAAAGGCTGGTCTGTGTGCTGGGAAGGCAGCTGAGGTGTCTCCCCACAGCAGCCTTTGCTCTGGTGAGCGGGGAGATGGAGGGAGGGACTCGGGGTACCCATGGGGGCAAGGGCCCTGGTGCCTCTCGCAGAGCTGACAGTCCCGGGGCCACCGGGACGGGTGCAGCCTGCAGACAGCGGGGCAGAAGCGGGTGGGCACGGCAGAGAGCCGGAGGCACGGGGTGGAAAGGTCGAACAGTTTATTATTTACACGTACAAAGAGTGAGAGGGCAGGGGCGGGGGACGAGGCACAGCCGGGAAGGCGAGGCCGGCTCAGTCGGTGATGATGAGTTCGTCCACCCCCCAGTCTTCGTAGCTGCCGTCGGGCAGGTAGCGCCGGATGATGATGGGGATCTTCCGGGCCCTGGGCAGGGGAGAAGGCACGGGCATGTGAGGGCTGGAGACGCCCGCGCTGCGGCAGGAGGTGCAGAGTGCACGGGAGGAGAAATCTCAGGAGCATCCTGCCGGGCTGAGCGTACTTTGTAGGGAAGGAATCAGTAAAAACAGGAAGTGCCCGCCTCCGTGGGGGGGGGGGGCACAGCGGGTCTGGGAGAGCTCTGCCGCCCACGGCTGAAGGGCTGGGGAGGAGGAGTGGAGGGCAGATGGCAGGCAGCGGGAAGGGCAGGCAGCGGGAAGAGCGGGTTCTGACAACCAGGAGCGGCCTCCCCTTCGCGGGCCCTCCCTCCGCCCCCCTGCTGGGCTGACTTCCGAACAAGCTGAGGGCCCGCAGGAGCAAGCACCGCTCCCCCAGCCAGCGAAGTGGGGGTCAGGGTGGGCAACAGAGAACCCAGAGCACGATCTGGCGACTTACTTGAGCTCTTTCATGGCGATGAGCAAGGGGTCCGTCTCCCCTTCCAGCTCCACCATCACTGGGGCGCACATCCTGTGGGAACAGGGACAGGCGTTGGGGAGGCTGCAGGCCCGGCCAGGAAGGCCCGGCAGGGAGTCGGGGGTGGGGCTGGGGCCCATTTCACAGACAGGAGGGGCACCCCCCTCCTCACCTGGAAAGACAGGCAGGTGTGACGTGGCAAGGGGGGGGGGGGCAGTGGCTCGGGGGCACAGCGGGGGTCCGTGAGTGGGAGCCAGTAGACCAGATTTAAAGTTTGCCTCCAAAGACACGGAATCTGTCTCCGAATCTCAGTATCCTTGTTTGACAACGAGGGCAGAAGGCCCGCCTTCGCCTGCAGTGAGGCTGGGACACTCCTCACCGGCTGACAGGCAAAGCCACACTAAGCACCATATGTCAGTCTCTTAACATGGTTCTTACACGGATTATTTCATCCGAGGTGAGTGCTAGGGTTACTTCTGTCTTACTCGTGAGGAAACGGAGGCATAGAGAGGTCAGTAACTTGCCCTAGGTCACACAGCAGTAAGTGGCAGAGCCAAGATTTGAACCCTGCAGGCTCCGACCTACTGTGCTGTAACACCTCCCATTTATAAACCGAGGATCCGCACACCTAAAAACGGCAATGGGAACGGGACAAGACGAAGCTTTAACCACAAGGCCACACGACATTCATCAAGTCAGCTCCCCCCCAGGGACCCCCCCAGGGCCTCGGCAGGCTCACTCCAGCACAAAGACACGCTGCGTGCAAAGGCTGCCTCCAGGGGGGGGTGGGGGTGGGGTGGGGGGAGAGCCTCCACCCGCCCGCCGTGAGTGACCGGCCTCAGGGCCTGGCCTCCTTTCCTATCCAGGCACCGCGCCCTCGGCAGCCCCACCTTCCAGTCTCCACGCGGCTTCTCAGGTGCGCTCCTGCTGACCGCCCTTCCATGACGCCCACGGCCAGAGGCAGAACCCAGCCCGGCCCCTGCTCACCTCCCGAGCACCTCCCCACCCCGCTTGCCTGAGTTCCCCCCGCATTCCCCCCACACCAGACTCCTGAGGCGTCCTGGACAGACGCTGCGGTTACCCTTCTGTGTCCTCGTTCGAGCTCTTCCTCCCCTGCAGGCCCGCAGGAGACGCAGATGTCTCCGCCCTAGGGACCGTGTGCCAGACCCTCGGTGCCCAGCTCACTCGCACGTGCTCCCTCGGCCCCGCCTCCTGAGCTCTAACACTGCGTGTTCGGAGTTGCCCGCCTGAGACCATGACAGGCGCCCGGTGGCCCAGGACGTGCCCCAGCACATCCTGGAGGCTCTGAACACAGACGCGGGGTGCCAGTTCCCGGCCCACCTCCTCTAGGAAGCTGCCCTTGATGATTCCAGCTCAGGTTTGCACTCAAGGGCCCCAAACCCGATGGCCGGAATTACTAGGAGCATACACTAAAACCCCAAGATCCCAGGCAGGTCCTCCTCCCAGACCCTCGGAGTAGGCTGTCCAGCGGAGGGGCCCGAGAACCTGCGTCTGCAAAGCCCCCTGGCCATCAGCCGGTCTGAGGGCCACCGTGTGCGCCAAGTCAGTCGCTAGCTTTATTACCGAATACTTTGATTTGCGAGGTCTGTCCAGAAGGTATCCAGCCAGGAAATATGGAAAACAGAGACGATTACTGGAGAGAACACAAGACACAAGGAATGCTGCACACAGGACAATGACCCCTCAGTCCTCGTCCAAGCAGGCACCCAGGGACCTCACACAGCTCTCCCGGTCACCACCCGCCGCCGCATCGTCTTTCCCTGAGTCTCACTGACGGTCTGAAATCTCTTCCCTCTCAAAGGGGATTTTAGTTTTGGGAAAAGCCAGAAGTCACAGGGCGCCAAATCTGGGCAGTAGGGGGACTGAGTCACCTGGCTGACTTGGTGTTTCGCCAAAAAACTCTGCAGGAGACGTGATGCACGAGTGAGAACGCCGTTGTGGTGCAGCTGCCAGCCCCCGCTCGCCCACAGCTGCGGCCCTTGGAACCATCCGAGCAGTTTCCACGGAGGAGTGTTCAAGCCCAACGCAAAATCTGACGCAGATTCACTGCTCTGCTCGCTCAGTCATTTTGAATGTGACGGCCACACAGTGCACATGCTTAGTCAACGGCGTCTACCACCCCCACTGACCAGTACAGTGAAGTCGTCACTGTTCACGCATGTGCATTCCAGTCCACTCGCCTGGGCTGCCAGGTGACATCGATGTCGTGCAAACCATTCTCGTTACATTAACAGTGGCTGGATTTTTTCAGGACAGGTCTCAGTATTACTCCCAAAAGCCTAAAAATTTCTCCAGGGCAGAGAGCAAGCACTTAACTTTCCCCATATCAATAACTTTCCCTCTTTCAATAAGTATTAAAAGTTTAAAGGATGTGGCAAAATGCCAGCCTTCTTTCGTTCAAGACAGGAAGAATCAAGAGCATCCACTCATCCGGCCAGCCCCACTGTGTGTGCGCGAAGTGCCCAGTGTGCGAGTGCGCCCCTCAGTCGTCTGCCGGCCCCAGAGCCTCCACAAGAGACCCGGCCAGATACTTAGGAGGCGACTGTGGCACACATCAGCCACTAGGTGGTGCTAGTGAAAGGAGTGAGACTCCATCCAAAGAGCACCCAGGACGCGTTTACTTGGCACCTAGACGCAGGCTGCATGCCTGGTGCTAGGGATAAGCGAGGGACCGGACAGCCCTGGCTGCCTGCTGCTCACCGTGGGCAAGGAACTGCCAGACGGGGGCGTGCTACTCCTTCGTCAGAAGGGCCACTGCGGACCCAACGAGGTGGGGCCATGCCTGGTTCCCAGAGAAAAGCAGGCTGCTGGGACCCGGTCGTGTTCTGAAAGCCTGCATCCACACCCTTTAAGTGTTGCACGGTGCCCACCAAGTGCACACCCATCTTCCGAACCTGTCACTCAAAGCACCAGTGACATCTTCTCCAGTCTTGTACCCCAAGCCACGTGCCATTCCCACCACAGGCCACTTGCCCGGACCTGTCCTGGTGCTGTTGGTGGCCCCGGGAGTACCGTTAAAACCACCTCCCTCCCCCTGACCACCTGCACTATGACCTCTTCACAGGCTTTCCCGTCACCCCTGCAATTACTCCCTTCTCCCCTTCCTGCACCTCTCGAACAGCACTGCGGCTGCCTGCCTTGGGGTCGGGGCATTCGTGAAGGGGTCCAGCTCCCCTCGAGGAGGTACGCACTGGAGGACAGGGGGCTGCGTCTCATCCTCTTCGAGTCCCCAACAGGAGCCAGCGCAGCGCCTACTCCGTGGTGGGAGACTCTACCTTGAATACAACCGGTTGACTTGTTTGAAAAAGAGTTTAAGAATTACTCTCTTTGCCGGGTCATTTTCAGCAGAGAGGAGCGTTAGAGGACCGACACAATACTTTGCAATGATGAGACTGTCCTCTACCTGCACTGCCCGTCACGGAAGCCCCAGCCACGGGTGCCCACTGAGCACGTGGAACGTGGCCAATGAGACCGAACAGCTGAACTTGCACTTAGGTTAAATGTAAATGGCCGCATGGAGCTGGTAGCTCCCAGAATCGATGGTGCAGGCCACAGGACCTGGGTCCCAGGGACACCAAAACTGTCCCTCGGAGCGCGGCTCTGATTTCTCCCAGACCAGCAGGGATGGCCACCAGGCTGGCGAGAGGTCCCCTGCTGCAGAACGAGCGGGAGCAGCGCTGCCCGACTGTGGGTCACCGAGGAGGACATGCGGTCCTCTCCACCCACAGGACTGGTGATCAGGTCCAACACCGACTGACAGCCAGGGAGGGGGGGCGCACGGACCTGGCGTCGGCACGCCGGCCGCAGCTTCCTTTCAGTCCATTGCCCACCACGCCCCACCCGAAGCGACCCGCCTTCCAGATCACCACCAGTGCCCACACCAGCTTGTGAGAACTCTGGGCAGGGCTCCTGCCCTCGGCCCCCGGTCGCCCTCGGAGACCTCCTGTGACAGACAGGACCACACCTGCCCTCCCTGTCTCCCGACTCACTCCTCCCCAGCACGAAGGAGTAAGTAACTTGCCTGACACGGGAACCTGGGGGAAAGCCGGCATCCGTGGCCTGTTTTGAGAGTCCCCGCTTTCTCAAAGCCACCGCCTGCAGACAGGGCGCCGTCACAAGGCCCCTGGCCCCGGAAGGCAGGCCTGCCCCGGCAGACACAGCCTCCGGGTGCCTGCACGCCTGAGCGCGCACTCCCCAGCAAGTCCCATCTCTGCCTACCCACTGGCCATCCCCTGGACCCTGTGATTCTTTAACTGGGTCCAAATGTGGGAGAGAAAGACAGGTTGCCAATTTCAAGTCCCCAGAAGTCCACACTGTTCTGTTTTCACGTCTCTAGCACGGCCTCTATGTGGAGGGGTCTCCCGTCCTCTGAGCTGGCCACAGCTGACCTCCCATCAAGAACCGCCAGCCCGATGCGGGCTGACACAGCCCCCCGAATGAACTGACCCACAACGGCCTAGGGCTGTCTAAATCCACAGTTTTCCTTCCTTCACTAGCCTGAGAGGCAATCACCGAGTTCTGTATTTTGTTGTTACTTGTCTGCTGTACTGTTACTTGACTTCTTAGATGGTCAGGTCCTACTTCCCCTGTTGGATCGCAGACTCCCTGAGGGCAAAGGTCCAGCACACAGCCGGGCACGCGGAACGAGCCCCCCACTCGGCCTGTGAAAGCGCTGCTGGGCCACACCGCTCACCCGGAGGCACGCTGTGGCCCGGCGGGCGGAAGGGACAGGGAGGGGCACACTCACGCGATCTGGAGGGCGCGGGTGCCCAGCACGCGGGCTCGCTCGTACTTGGTCATGTACGGGGTGGTGATTCGCTTCTGGTTGGCCTGCGGTCGCTCTCCGGAGGGGAGGATCTCCACGTTCTCCTGGCCCTCCTGGACGCCAAGGAAGAAAGAGGGAAAAGCTCAGGGTGTGTCGTTGGGAGGGGGAGGGGCGGGAGCAGTGACCATCACCACCACCACAGCCGCCACTGCTTATTACGTGCCAACGACCTCGCAATTGCCCTACGGGCACCTTATTTAGCCCTCATGTGACCTTACGAGGCAGGGACTGTGGTGCCACTTTAGAGGCCCGGGGAGTTAGCTGACTCGGCCCAAGTCTCAGACCCAGTGAAAGAAAAGCATCGTGACCGGGACTCCAGAGCCAGCTGCCCCGTCCAGGAGAGAAGCAGAGGCCGAGAGGTGGGGTGGCCCAGGGGCGCCGGCCCCGTGTGAAGAAGTCCTTGGGCAGAGATGACAGATCACCCTCGGCAGGAGGCAAGAACAAGTGTCCCATCTTCAGGCAGGACAACTGAGTCCAAGGGTCAAGGGGCTGCAGGGTCACAGTGAAGGCAGAAACAGGCCGGACGTTTCCATATATCTACATATTCACATGTTCAACGGGTGCTCGTTAGGCGTCGGTTGCACGCCAGACGGCAGAACAGCGAAGGGTCTCTGCTCTCAGAGAACGCACATCTGGGAGGAGACCAGAGAGAACACCACGGCCGGTGCTTTGCAGACACACGAGAGTGCACGACACAGGCACTGAGGGGGAGAGGGGCCCCTGAGTCACGCAGGGGTCCGGAAGAGAGTCCGGAGACGAGACTCGAGCTAGTCTAGAAGAATGAGCAGGAGTTCCCAAGCCAAGGAGGAAGGGAAGGGCATTCCAGGCAGGCTGAACTGCACGTCCAAAGGAGAGAGGAAGGAGACCATGTACCAGGTTTGCTAACTAATTGTGGAGCCTAAACAGAGCAAAGGTGCACACCTCGGGGTGGGGATTCTGAGCAGAAGAGAGACACGATTTGACTCAACACGTACAGTGGCTGCTCTGGATACTCTGCAGGGGCAAGGGCAGAAGCCAAGAGACCGTTTTTAGGAAGACCGGTAGTAACGGATCGTGTGGGCAGGCAAGAGAGAGAACTCCGGCAGCAGAAAGGCAATCGGAGAGCCCGACGGCAGGAAAACCAGGAACACGATTTCTGCAGCGGCGCCAGCAAAAAGCAGGAGCGATCTGAACCAGGCCCAGCATGAGGTGTGTGGAAAGGGGGCGGGGCTGAACCACTCGTCACACTCGTCAGAGGCAGAGCTGACCGGACCGGACGGGGGGGGCCCGGGGGAGCAGCAGGACGGAGAAGAGGTTTCTGACGCAGCGCATGGGTGCCAGAGAGAGCCGTGCAGGAAGTTCAGGGAGGGGGGCTTCAGCTTCCCGGCCTAAAACACCAAGGGACCGCTCTCTGCAGGAGACACAAAGCACTTCTTCCGCCACCAGTGACACAAGACAGGGAGCCCTATTTTATTCATGAAGCCAGGAACCCATCCACGCAGTGACTCGAGCCAGAAACCCAGGAGTCATCCTTGCCGGCTCCCAAGTTCCCCTCCCCATGTTCCACCCACCAAAATGCTTCCTCGTCGGCTTGCTCGTCACTGTCACTGACACCGGCAGTGCCCAGGTCCAAGCCGCAGGTCTCTCACCTGCGGGTCTAGGCGAGTCCCCTCACAGGTCTCTCTCCTCCACTCTTGCCCCTCCCCAATTCACCTTCCACTCTGAGACCAGAATGCCCTTTCTAAAATGCAGACTAGGCCCCGGCTGCTGTGGCTCCGTGGACTGAGCGCCAGCCTGTGAACTGAAAGATCGCTGGTACAATGCCCCATCAGGGCGCGTGCCTGGGTTGTGGGCCAGGCCCCCAGTTGGGGACGTGCAAGAGGCGACCAATCGATATCTCTCTCACACGTCGGTGTTTCTCTCCCTCTCTTTCTCCTTTCCTTCCCCCCTCTAAAAATAAAAATCTTTTTTAAAAATTAAAATAAAATGCAAACTGATTCATGCCACTCCCAAGCTCAAAGGCTTCCCACTGCACTTAGGCTATGAAATCCGCCTGATCTGGGCCCTTACCTCCAGATCTACCCAGGTCACTCCCCACCTCGGTCTTATGCAGCCCCACCCTGCAGAGCGCTGTGCACATAATGAACATTCAACACATTTGTTGAATGAATGAGGGTGACACTTCACCCACCAGTGAGCTGACTGTCCCAGAAGCCGTGGGCTATGATCCAGGTGGACAAAAGCCCGCAAGCCCACCCTGCAGGGCGTCTCCACCCCCCACGACTGAACTCTGCTCAGGCTCATGGGGGTGCTCGTGGCGGGGGCTCCAACCACAGAACAGGAGGCAGATGCGCTCAGGGAACTGTCATCGGCCAGGTCATCTGGCAGCCTGGGCTGCAGAGGGAGGAGCCCAAGGCCAAATACTGACCTCCTCAGCATTCTCCAAGTCATCTAGTCCTTCATCCTCCTCCACGTCATCAAAGTCGTCGCCATCAAAGCTGCGCAAGAAGAGGCCAGTAGTTAGAGCATCACTGACTGGAATCGAAGAGGGAGAGGGGGGGTCTCATCGGTACACAGGATGCACTCAATAAGTATTCACTTAACGAGTGAATCAAACTTGTGCTTCATTCCACTCCTTCCAATGGACCCCATCAGCCCCCAACGGTACTGGGACTCCTTTGTCGTCACTGTTCCTTTCCCCTTTCAAAAGCACCACCGCCAGCAGCACATAAGCGGGTATTACTGCCCGATCTTTAAAAACAAAACTCCATTCCACAGAGCCCCATTTCCACGCTCCCCTTGGGAGCAAAATTCATGCAATTCATGTCAGTTTCCCATTCTTCTCTTCCCATTCTGCCACAATTCTGCTTCATCAAAAGCAATCCTTCATTCGAGTTTGTTAACATTCTTCCATGGCGGGGGGGGGGGGGAGCAGGGGAGGACCTAATATACGGTGACGGAAGATGGTTTGACTTGGGGTGGGCACACAGTGTGATACACAGATAGAAATGGACACCTGAAACATACAATTCTATTAACCAAAGTCACCCCAATAAATTTAATTTAAAAATAATTTGCCCTGGCTGGCATGGCTCAGTGGATTGAGCACAGGCTGCGAACCAAAGCATTGCAGGTTCGATTCCCAGTCAGGGCACATGCCTGGGTTACAGGCCATGGCCCCCAGCAACCGTACATTTCTCTCCCTCTCCCCTTCCCTCTCTAAAAATAAATAAGTAATCTTTAAAAAAAATGATAATAATTCAATCTCCCTGGTTGGTGTGGCTCAGTGGATTGAGCACTGGCCTGCAAACCGAGGGGTTGCCAGTTCTGGGCTGTGGGCCAGGCGCCCAGTTGGGGGCATGCGGGAGGGAGCCGATCAATGTTTTCCTCCCACTCTTTCTCCTTCCCTTCCCCTCTCTGTAAAAGTAAATAAATAAAGTCTTAAAAATAAATAAACCCAATAGACTGTTCTTGTTCTCATTTAGCTTGACCTACCAGCTGGCAAAACAGACCACTCCCTCTCCTGCACACACTCTCCTCACTGGACTACAAGGACATCTCCCTCTCCTGGCCTTTCCCCCCTCCCTGGCTGCCCCTCCCCGCTTTGCCAAGCACTCCTGTTGGGATGCCCCACACTCGGCCATCTCCTCTTCTCACCGCGACTCCCCGGATGACCTCACCTGCTTCTTAGTTTTGACGGACACGCTGACCACGCCCCTATTTTTACCTTCAGAACACACCTCTCTCCTTGGGCCCCCATTTGAAAATCATTTTGGCCCTAGCTTCACAATAAATCCAGAATTCAAAACCACTTCTCACTCCCTCTACGACTATCTCCCTAGGGCAAGCCACTACTTTCTCTCCCCAGGTGACCGCCACCCTTCCAGACCGTTCTCCCCTCCGAGTCTCACTGGACCCTCTGCAGGAGAACTTCTACCCAGTAAGTCCTCACTTAACACTGTAGATAGGTTCTGCGACTTGAAGCAAAACGGGGCCTAATGAAACCCATTTTACCACAGGCTAACTGATATAAACCGGAGTTAAGTTCCCACAGCATCTCATCAACGCTGGAACAAACTGACGTTATTCGAGGACCGGCTGCACTACGCGCTTCTACTGCCTAACCTCACCCGATGCTGTCTTAACCTGTTTATGGGCCTGTCCATCTTCCGGAACGGGAGCACGTGGGACTATGCCTAACGCACCTCAATATTCCCAAAACAAGACGCAGCGCCCGGCTCAGGGGACGTTTGCTGGGAGACGCCTTGTCCACTGATCCTCTCTGTACCCTCCAGCCTGAGCCCTGCGGTGCCCGCGCCCTGGCTACGCTTCTGGCCCCCCACCCTCCCCTGCTCCCCGTCAGTAGCCCCAGTCCCTTAGACGCCTGCGTCCTCAGCCTCCTTCGACCCAGGCTCCTGCTTCACCCGCCTCTCCCGAGGATCCGCAAAGGCCACTTCGTCCGCACTCACTTGTCCTCGTTGTCTGACATGACGCCCGCGCCGCAGCGACCCGGCTCCGCGCCCCGGACCCGCGCGGAGGCCGACGAACAGCCTCCGCCTCGCGAAACGACTCGCGCACTCCACGCCTGCGCCGTGACCCCGAGGCAATCACTTCCAGGGGGCAGGCCAGCACGGTAAGTGTGCGCATGCGCCGAGAAGCTAGCGCTCGTTACCATGGTAGCCAGAGCGTCTAGTTACCAGCCCCAGCACGATGCCGCGGCGGAGTCTAGGGAGACCAGCTGCCGCTGTCTGTGGGGCGACCCACCCAGCCGGGGTCTTACTTTAGGGTGAGGTTTCAATTTGAGCGTAACAGCCAACGGGCACTGTCGTGACCGCGGCTATCTGAAGGTCCCCTTCCCAGGGCTTTCCCTGACACAGGCACCGGGTCAAGATGAGGTCCCCGTTCGTGAGTGCATCTGCCTGGTGCATCTGTTCGGGGTGGAAGGATCGGGCACTGTCGCAATAATGACGGGCGGCGTCGCTCCCAGCCTTTGGTGGTGTCAGGGGCCTGGTGTGGGAGTAGAGATTGGACCTGGGAGACGGGATGTGTCATTGCGTTCTTTCCCTGCGCAGGGCCTTCCCATGGCTTCCCCAGAGAAGGTGGAGGCAGTGGCCAAAGGAAAGGGGTTCTGGCGCTGCCCCAAGCAGGCCACTTACACCCCTGAGACCTGCGAGCTCCTCAGAGGTCAGTGCGCTTACAGGACAGGGGAAGAGCGGTGGTAACAGTTACACCCCGAAACTCAGGTCTCCCCCATGTAACCTGTGGCTTAGCCATAGTATTTTCATTTTTTTTTAATAATTTATTTATTTTTTTAGAGAGGGAAGGGAGGGAGGGAGGGAGAGAGAGAAACATCAATGTGCGGTTGCTGGGGACTGTGGTCTGCAACCCAGGCAGGTGCCCTGACTGGGAATCGAACCTGCGATGCTTTGGTTCACAGCCTGTGCTCAATCCACTGAGCTACGCCAGCCAGGGCGTATTTGCATTTTACAGATGAGAAACCTTGAGTTCAGGAAGTTTCGGGTCCTACAACTGCAAGTGGCCAAAAAATCAAAGAACTAAGCATTTTAGAGTAGAAAACTCCTGTGTATCCTTAGATCACACTTTGCATTCTCTCACGGGAAGCCTGTCTCCTCCCTACCCACCACCACCACTGTGGAACCAATTGTTATTTACCTTCACACTACCAAACGTTACCTTGCTCTTCACCCGACAGAGCGTCACCTGCAATCAGCTATGTGGTATGTTCCACTGGGTCAGGACTTACCCACCCTCCTGGCCTGTGAATTGCACCAGGGCGGGCAGGACTGTTCCTGCTTTGGCTCCCGATCGTAGCTCCAGTGTCTGACACATGCTTAATAAATACCTGTTCTTTCATTCATTCGCTCAATGAAAAAAAAAAATTAAAAAGCCCACTATGTGCTTTAGACCTTGTGCTAGGTGGTGAAGATACAGTATAAAAAAAAGAAGAAGAAAAAAGCAAAAATGTTTTTCTTTTATGGAGCTACTGTTTTAGTAGAAGGGTAACAAATAATACATGAGTAAAACCCATAGAACTCAGTGGTGAGTGCTATAAACAAATAATGAAGCAGGGGAGGAAGAGGGGGTACTCGGGTATAGAGCGGGGGTCAGAGGCGACATGATTTCAAGCTGCTGTGGGGTGAGACTGAGGTTTCCGCCTGCAGCCCAGGCAGCCTCATTGGAGTGCTTTATCTTGCAGTGATGATGAAGGAGTCCAGACTGACCGAATTCCAACAGCGCCACATCATGGACACCATGAAAAGTAAGAGTCGGTCCCCAGAGGCTTCCTGGGCGGAGGGATTCTGGGCCACGTTTTTAATGCTCCTCCATATTAAGGATCAGAGGACGTCATTTTAAAAGGCCAACCCTGTATAGTGTAGCATTTTTTATGTTGCCCCTGGGGAACTGACCTTTCGGGACCTTTGTTATCCCACCCCCACTACCCCCCCACCCCCGCCATGGGTGCTGCTGGCACAACCACAAGCCTCCTGACTAACCAACCTTCCCAGGAAATCACAGAGCAATCGAAACTTCCTGCCCAGCCAGAACCGTCTCAGAACTGTCCCGTCTGCAATCTGTCCCTTCCTGGTACACACACACCGTCTGAGCTCTCAGAGGAGAGGACCTGAGGTTCTATTCATTCATGGCTTAGCTGGCAGAGACAAGAGCACTGGCAGAATCCCAACTCGGGAAGCCCGTGCAAAGCTTTCCCACAGCTCACCTCTGACCGCTCATTGTATCATTTAAATAAGAAGTGGAAGTGCATGGGCCCCATGTTCTGAAAGCAGCCTTACTCCCTGAGATTTTGCTGAATCAGCATTTAATGGGTCAGAACAGAGGCCTTTAAGAGAGAGAGAGTGCCGGAGCAAGCCCGCCCTGTTTTAGTGGGATCTACCGAAAGCTGTTGCCTTCACCCTGAAGAAGGGATGTGCCTACCAGGGGGGCACCTGACCGGCCAGGGGAGCACAGGGAGGGGAGGGTCAGAGAGGCCCCTGTCGGCACAGCCCCTTCAGCTCTGGCTGGCAGAGGGAGGCTCCCTCGGGCCAGGTCAGGGGTCAGATATCCTTCCTCACTGTGGACAAGGACAGCTCGGGCTGCCAGAGTGTCGTAACACATCTGAATCACAGGGCAGTCGCCACGCTCAGCACTGCACTGACAAACCGGTGTCCCCCAAAGCTCGATTACACGGACTGTCCTAGAAATGCCACTAAGAGTGAACGCCAGGAGACCACAGACTACGTCTGTCCTGGTCACCGCGGTGGCCTCAGCGCCTGGGCACTCCTCAGTATTTAGTGAAGGACGAACTGTGTTGGTGGCTGGGCCACCACCATGGGCCACCACCAAGGGCCACCACCAAACCCCCGGTAGTGTCGTTCCCCTTGGAAGTTTCATTTTTTTTTTTAAATTGCCTCCAAGTATTTGTGTGGAGTCTGCTTTCTTCTAGAATCTCCTCTTAACCAAATCCTACTGTTGTTTTGAGCTATAGTTCAAATTCTGTCGCAAGCCACACATTTCTCTGCTTCACCTGAACTCCCAGAACCACTCAGGCCGTGGTTGTTTGCTGGGAACGGGCCAAGGGAAGAGGCAGCACTGGCGCCGGACGGGCAGCAGCAGGGAGGGGAGGGAGCGGGAGGACATTCCAGGAGGCACGGCATCTCTTTGGAAACGAGAGATGTGCAAAGCCCTGGCTCCCGCTGGAGGACGCGTGAAGGGGAAGGTCAGTGGGAATTCCTGGCAGCCCCATGCTTCCGGGCCCGCAGGGCGGACACCTCAGCCATGACTCCTCATCTCCCAGGCCCCCCATCCGCCCCCTCAGCCAGCCCGTTGCTTGACCTTCAGTCCGTACCGACACCTCCGACCGCCGCTGCCCTTGGCCCCCACACTGTGATTTCAGCAGCAGCCAAGGGGATCCCGTCATTCCCCCGCTCCAAACCCTCCGGCGGCTTCCACCCTTGCACAAAGTGAGAGCCCACCTCCCCAGAGGCCTACGAGGCCCCGTACTTCTCTTGTCTTCCATGCCCTCTGACCTCTACTCCCGCTACACCCCCACCCCGTGCTCACTGCTTTCCCCGCACCCCAAACACTGCAGGCGCATTCCCACCTCGGGGCCTTTGCTCTAGCTGTCCCCTCGGCCTTGGATGCTCTTCCCTGACGTATCTGCAACGCTGGCCCCCCACCACTGTTGGGTCTCGTCTCAGATGGTACCCTGTCCTCGAGGGCTTCCCTGGCTCCCCAATGTAAATTGCAAACCCCACGGTGACGAACCCTGTGCTCCACCACCTGACGTGCTGTACGCGGGTGTTTCATCCCCTCCACAGCCCCGGTGCGGGCGCACCAAGGCAGGCCTCCATTTCCCTTACCACCGTCCCCGCAGCGTGCTGGGCCGAGGCAGTGGGGAGGGAATCTATTACCCCCCCAAACCTCCCCTCCTCACGCGTGAACCAAGCAGGTGTTAGGAACCCACCTATACAAACAGAAGCACCAGTAGGAGGCCTTGACGTACAGGAGTGTTTACTGGAGCACAATTAGGAGCAGTAAAAAAAAATAACAAAAACAGCCTGAATTTCTGAAACTAGGAGACTCGTTGCAGATAGAATGTAGCCATTGTGAGCACCAGCACACAGCCGTGAAAAACCAGCCACGTGCATAAACGGAGTGGTCGGAGAGGTGTTCAGGGGGAGTTGTTAAGTGAATAGAACACAGTATGGTGGGCTGCTTGAGCCTTACATAAGTGCATGTATCTTTGTGTTTATATATGCATCAAAAAGAACGGACTGAGACCACCCAATTGTTACCATTGCTCCTGGTAGAGGGGGGTTGGAAGGGAAGACTGCTGTGCTGTTGGCCGTGTTGTAACAGGCAGGCATTTATAAAGTGAAAAAAAAAAAGCCAGCAGATTCCCCCACTCCAACCCCCCTTTCCCAGGAGGAGACACGCTGCCCCTCCACTGCAGCCCGACGTGCAGCCAGAGGGTGCTGCCTCCCAAGCAGCCGGACCCAGCCATCTGCCTGCCCCCCATCCTGGTGGCCCGGTCCCACCTCCGGCCTGCCAGCCTGTGCCAGGCCAACGGGGCCTACAGCCGGGAGCAGTTCAAGCCTCGAGCCACCCGTGAGTCAGAGGGCCTTGACCAGAGCCCCCCCTCCTCTGTGTCCCTTCCTGAGGGGAGGGGCTGGGGGTGCGGGAGGGCGGCCAGCCCACAGGGCAAGTGAGCACGCAGCTAATCAAAGTCTCCCGCTGCTCATACCAGTGCCCTTGAGCCTTGGCACGTGAGCTGGGCACATTGCAGGGGAAGCTGGTCGGGCTGTCCTTCTTCAAAATTTTCCCGGAATGCGCCCTGGCTGGTGTGGGGCAGCGGACTGAGCACCGGCCTGCAAACCAAGGGTCACAGTTCGGTTCCCTCTTGGGGCACGTGCCTGGGTTGTGGGCCGGGTCCCCAGTAGGGGGCGTGCAAGAGGCAACCACACATTGATGTTTCTCTCCCTCTCTTTCTCCCTCCCTTCCCCTCTCTCTAAAAATAAATAAAATCGTTAAAAAATATAAGAATGGATGAAATCTTAAGCAAAAATTTGTTTTCCAGAATGCTCTTTAACAATTAACTAGACTCTGTCAGTCTCTGATGGGTGGCCGACTGTCAGATCGCATGACTGCCGCTCTCTTGAGCGGACACGGTGCCTCGAATGCAGAGCGTCCTGCACCCCGGCCTCCTTCAGGGAGCCGTCCGCCCCCTTCCCCCTTGGCACTTGACCTCTCGGCCCAGACCTTCCCACACCCCACACAGCCTCTCCACGCGGGCTGCTACACGGCCACCACTGAGGTTCCTTAGCCTTGCTCTGTGCCACAGCAGTGAGTGGCTTTCGACAAAGGTCTCTTCTTGGTGATTTCAACCCCCTTTCCCACCTGTCTTGACGTGACAGGCCCAGGAGCACCCTGGGTAGACAGTGCCGGGACAGCAGAAGCCCCCCCCCCCTTACCCTGGCCCCTTGGGGCAGGCATGCGTGATTGGGAACACGGGCCGTGAAGGGGGTGCCCTTCCCGCCTGAACAAGGCCTTTCCTGGGCCTTACAGGAGATCTGGAGAAGGAGAAGCGAAGACTCCAAAATATCTTTGCCATGGGAAAGGACAAAGGGGAGCGGAAAAGGAAGCCCCCTCCTACAAAGCAACAAAAGGCCCCGGCCCCCGAGCCAGACCGCTTTGAAGAACGTGAGCCCCGATGGGCCAGTTGTGTTGGGGGGGGGGTGGGTATGGGGAGGGGCCCGCCAGCTGGACAGAGCCCCTTCTTCTCCCCGAGAGGCCACCCCTGCTCCCACCACCCCTCCTGGGAGCCTGGCGGCCCCCGTTGCCCTGTACGACGATGACGACCCTTCTCCCTGTCCAGTGGTCAAGGAAATTCAGGAGAGGAAAGAGTTCCTGGCTGACATGGAGGCCCTGGGGCAGGGCAGGCAGTACCGAGGGATCATCCTTGCTGAAATCTCCCAGGTAGGAGAAGCCACGGGCCAGTGGGAGGGGACGCAGCCACCACCATGTGGGGGACGTGATTCGAGTAGAAATGAAGGGCCAGCTGCGGCTGAGGCCCGGGGAGTCCAGCTCAGCCCCCCTCTCTGTCGTCCCCTGGCGTTCCTCCCCCGACACCCAGCTCTCCCGGATGCCCTCTGCAGAAACTGCGGGAGATGGAAGACATCGACCACCAGAGGAGTGCGCAACTCAGGGAGGCTCTCATCCCAGCCTAATGTGTCTGCTGGAGTAGCCCAGCCTCAACCAGCGGAGCCCACGCCCTTGCCAAGCAGGGTCATTCCCAGGTCTGCCCGCCCAGCCTGGCCTTCAGCCACGGCAGACGGGCACACGGCACTGCCCGGGCCTGGTGTTCTCTGAGCACGTCGGAGACTGTACCCAGGGGCCCTGGGGCGCCTGCGCCCCTGAGACCCAGTCACATGCACACACGACTTGGAGTCTTTTCTTGGGGAAAAGCGAGGCTTGAGCCCCCCCGTCTTGGGTGAATGTCCAAGTGCACCCGAAGGGCCCTCTCCCCACCATCGCCGCCCCACCGTGCGTGCCCACGTTTAGCCTTCTGAGCTCGGGAATGGATATCCCTTTCTTCCTCCCCGTCTCAGTGCCTGCCGCCTCGACTGACAGCCACAGGCGAGTGTTTAACCGCTGTGGTTAATTGGCCAATAAAACACACTTAACGTGGGTCACTGCACACGTTGCTTTGTTTTCAGAGGGATAAGGCTTATTTGTTCAAGGAGTGAGAATTCTTCAAGCATGTTTCTAGCTGTTTGCACATCTCAAGCGGGAATGGGAACCAACACTTCCTGAGCGCCCATGGCCGGACGCTGCGGTCGGTGCCGAGTCTCACTCGAAGGTCCTTCTCCCAGCAGCCCCTGCAGGGGCCCCGCGGCCCCGGGTGGAAACCGAGGCTCACCAAGGCACAGAAGCAGGGTCATTTCACTAGCCAGCAGCCTGCTCAGCAATGAAAGTTAGCTTTACGTCTCCCCACTAAACCCACAGCCCACAGGAAGAAACACAAAGGGTGGGGGAGAATCCGGACCGAGCGCCCTGGCTTTGGCGCTCCGATCCAGCCCGTGGGGTGTGAGCGTGGGTGCCCTCCCCCGCCCCCCCGGCCCGCCTCAGCTCTGACTGCCCAGTCGGGAGGCCCAGCCTCACGGGGGCGTCTGCCCACAGGGCGGCCCTGGGCCTGGCGCAGCGCACACCGCAGGCCCCGGGTCTTCTGGCCACCACAAGCCCTGCGTTCCCCAGTCTTCTGTCATTTCCCCGTCTCCTTAAGTCAGAACATTTTGGAAATTTCAACCAATCCTCCCACCTGGAGGTCACATGACCCAAGTTTTCGTTTGTAGGGCAAACTCTGCCTGCAGCCTCAGACAGAGGAGAGGGGCCAGTTCGAGACCATTCTGTGGGAGGCCTGTGTCCACGCACCCTCCAGAACCTGAGGCCAGAGGCTGCAGAGTGACAAGGACAGCTGTGCTCCACTTCAAAGGCCCCCCCACACGGCCCAGGGACAGCAAACTGGAGAACCCCACGACAAAATCCTGACCCTTGACTGAAGCTCAGGTTAATCACCAACATTTACAAATCTCACACACACACACACGATCTGGATTTCTAGCTTCTTTTTAAAACAGGAAGACCCGATGACGCGGGGCCACACTCCCACGGGCTGCGGCTGACTTGAGGAAGGGCGCCCCCCTTTAGTAGTGGCACAGACACACCCCAGTCCACCCCAGACCCTGCCATCCCAGCCTCCTGCCACCGAAACAGCGTCACAGAGCCACCTCTCAGCTTCCACCCAGCCCGGTCCGTGCACCCTGGCCCCTGAGAGGTCCTCGAGTCGGTGACGCCAGCTCCGGGTCCACAGGCACATTTGGAAGGAGGCCGCCAGGCGCTGCCCGGGCAGGAGCCCCCTCTCCCTGTGGGGCAAGGGAGCCCGACGGCAGGCAGGGGGCCAAGGGCTCCGCTGGTGGGCAGCCCTACGTGCCCGCCTGGGACAGCAGAGGTGCTTGGCCCCGAGGTGCAGTGCGGGCAGGAGAGAAGGCAGTCCTGGCCAGGGACAAGCACCCTAAGTCTGCAGGGCCCCAGCAATGAGGTGGTCTCCATTTATTGTGGGCGAGGCAAACCCCCACGAGTTCATTCAGTGTGATCTTCCCCCAGAGGTGCGCTGAGGGAAGGGGGCCCTTGGGGTGCCCCCCAAATAGCTTATAGCAACAGTGTTTCGACCCAGAGCTGCTGGGCACGGTCCCTGGGGAAAAGGCATTGTCCCCACCGGCTCCTCCCAGCAGGGTGTGGCCATCAGTCCTTGGGGGAAAGAACAAACAGGAACGTGAGGAGACAGACCGGTGATGACCACACACAGGAGTGGCCGCCATCCCCAGGGGACACCCAGCGAGGCGGCAGACTGCAGTGTGTCAGAGAACCAGGGTTAGCACCTACATAAAGCGTACCGCCTCGGCAGGTGAGGGCACAGAGACCCCTGCTGGGAGACTCGGCACCAGGACACCCACCCACCCACCCAGGGCGGCCGCCATCCCCAGGGGATACTGGGGATAGCGCTGCCCGGGGGAGGTTCCCTGCGCAGCAAGGGAGGAGGGAAGAGCCTCCTGGAACCCGGAGAGGCAGAGGGGCGGTTTTGTCCATCATGCGTGTTCGTAGCTGAGGGCGCAGTCACCGAACAAACTCAGAGACGTCGTGAACGCAGCTCCTGAGCGAGGAGGACAGACCCAGGGCCGCCAGCCGGGACGGGAAGACGGACTCGGGGCCGGGCTGAGGCAGGAAGAGGCCAGCGCAGCCGGGCCCGCCTATGACAGGCCACAGGCGCAGAAGCCGAGAGGCAGAGACCCACGGCAGACCCCGTGGTGGCAGGACCCTCGGTCCAGAACTTTGGCAGCTGGGAATCCCATCTGGACGTGACGGGGGGAAGGAGGGCCGAGGAGCTGCCCGTCACGGCAGGCGCCAGGGGGGGAGACAAGCAGGGGCAGGTGTGCTGGGCCGTGCTGCTCCATGGCTCCGTGGACCCAGGCCCCCGCTGGCTCCTTCCGACTGTCGCCGCGTCTGGCGTCATCAGAACCAGAGCGACAGGGCTGAGCCGGGAAGGGGCGAGTGGAGGTCCCCTTGCTGTTAGCTCTTGTCCCCCGGGGACTTGCTCTTGGTGTCGCGCTTGTTTCCTAGCAGCTTCAGCACCTTCATGGTCTTGAACTTCCCCTTCTTCCTGCTCTCGGATTCAGCCTCCTTCTGGAACTCTGCGGGAGGGAAAGGGGTCTCAACAACATGGGGGCAGGGGCCCTCGGGGCAGGCCAGGGGCGGTGGCAGAGGCCTAGGCGTGCCAGGCCACAGGGGCTGGGTGCAGCTCCAGCACCTGCTCCTGGGGAGCCCTGGGCACGTCACCTCACCTCTCTGAGTCCCCGGCGCTTGGCCTGTAGGACGGGGACCATACCCCCTCCAGGGTTCTGACAAGGACCCAGATACAGGAACGTGAGAACAGCCTGGGGACTCTGAGGCACGGCACACGTTTACCTCCAACAGCCTCGTCCTTTGAAGGAGCCCTTTGAAGGTGCCAGGCCCTGGAGAAGTGCTTTACACATGTTACCCCAGGAGTCCTCCGCACACACCTGGGGGGCGGGGCCTCCGTCACCCCCACTCTGCAGGCCGGGCGAGCCAGGCCTGGCGGGGGTGAAGCGGCTGACTCAGGCACCCGCGCGAGGACGCACCAGCAGCCGCTGGGACTGCGGCCCCGGCAGCCCGATTGGAGGCCAGCCCCAACCACAGGCCACGGCCTGAGTCACGGTGGGACCGAAGCCACGCCCAGGTCTCCTGCTCCCAGCCTGCTGCTCTCCCCGCCAACCCAGCACGGCCTTGGTCCCAGCAGGTCCTGCTCGTCGAGCCCACAGGCCCCTCCAGGCCCAGCTGCGGGTCTCGGGGAGCGGTGCGGAGCACACGGCAAACCGCGCTGGGAAAATGCTCACTGGCACCCCAGGCCTCCCGGGGCACCGGGGTGTCCACCCACCCCCCGCCGCCCCGTCCCCCAGGCCCAGGCCTCGGGTTTCCTGGCCACGGGCAGGCCTGCCTCTCCGCGTGTGGCCTCCCAGACCAAACAGACGCTGGGAGCGGGCACACGCCAGGCCACAGCACCCACTCCAACCCTCTCCGCAACCTGTCTCCACCCTCCAGGGGTTCAAATGGGCCACACCCCAGGGCGGCCTCACCTTTCTTCTTGATCATGGCTTCCAACATCTTGTCTTCCTCTTCCTCCCTGGAATGGGAAAGCAGAGCCAAAGGTCCCCCAGGAGGCAAGGCCGGAAAGCCTGTCAGACACGCCCAGCCTCCGACTCCACCCCGGCCGGCTGAACACGGGCGCCCTGGGATCGCAGGCAGGGAGCGCAGGGCTGGCGTGGCCTGCTCTGGGCCCTCCCCCCCAGGAGTCCCCAGGGGAGCCCCCGGCCCCGCCCTGTCATCACCTCTGCCGGTCCTCGTCCAGGCAGTTGACGATGGCATTGCGCTGCTCGATGAGGGTCACGATCTCCTGCATCAGCACCTTCTCCCGGCCCCGGTCGTCCTCGGTCCACTCTTTCTCTGCCCAGGGTGGGGGAGGGGGGGGAGCGGGGGTGTCAGTGGCAGGAAGCCAGGAAGCAACATCTAAGCACTAAGTTCGGAGGACAGTAAGGAGGGTCCCCGATGGGTGGGGATGACAAGTTTTTGGAAAACTGAAGGTTATCATAGAAGAGACCAAGGCTACTTAGGCTGCCTACCCAAAACACCGCCCTTTAAGGGGGCTCCGGGGGGCCCAGCACAGCAGCTGTTCTGAGAACAGAGCCCAGCGCACACTGGGTGGTTTTTGGTTTCCTGCTGCCATTCATTCATTCATTTTCACTCACTCACTCACTCATCCTTTCATTCATTCATTCATCGTTCATGGAGGTTTCCCACAGGAGGCGGGGTTGGGGCTGGGCCTCCTGAGGGCCTCCAAAGGGGGGCTGGCCAGAGTAGGGCAGGGGTGGGGGAAGAACAGAGGACCCCGGGGTCCTGGAGAAGCAACGTCACCCCTGCGGCATACTGGAACACTAACGAGCTGCAGCTTCAGCTCGCTCCTTGTCGTGGCCGCAGACCCCAGCTCAGCCACCTAGCAACCGTCAGCCCTCAGAGGCCACGGAGCGCTTCCACACCCACTGCCCCTTGACCCCGGGGAACACTGTGCGAGGCAGGCATCTTCATCCTGCCTTCCACTCCAGGCCACCGGGGCTCCGCGAGGCTGAGAGAGCTGCCTGCCTCCCCGGCCCTGGCCCCACCCCAGCACATTGGCAGCGAAGCGCGGGACTGCCTGGCCCCACACTGGATCCCTCCAGCTGCTGCCCACCCTGCGGAGCCGGTCGGGCCCGTCCCTCCTTCCCAGAGTCACTCTGAGTCAGGCTGTGCAGGGGACCCTCCGCCTTCCCGCCCCCTGCCCGTCAGGTCAGGTCCTGCCGTGCTCTGGCCCGACGGCCGCAAGCCCAGAGCTGCCCCTGGACAGGCGTCTGCAGTCATCGCTGCACGGGGGGCGGCCCCGGGCCCTGAGCCCCCTCGTGTTCCAGGAGAGGACGCAGCCGCAGGCGCTGCGCTCCCGAGCTTGGCGCGCTCTGTGAGCTGGTCACCTCGGACACCACGTGTGTCCACACCTCCTCCACGGCTCAACCAGACGGCACCTCCAGGCCACCTGTTCCCAGAGTCCGAGTGTCTCCATCGGCTCCGCCACCCACAGCCCGGCCTGGAGGGGAGGCCCCGAGCCCGCTCCCCTGCCCCATGAGGCCCCGGCAGGTGCCCCGGGGCGGGGGGGGGGGGCGTGTGGCCGCGCTCACCCGGCTTGTTGAGAAGGCACCGCAGCTCATACTCCACGTCGGCCTGGCGCTGCTCCAGGTTCTGCTGCTTGAAGCTGCGGGGCGGGAATAAGCTGCCTGTCAGTGCGGCCCCACCCAAGGCCGCCCTGGCTGGCGCTGTCCGTGCCGAGGGGAGGCAGGCAGGGGCCGTCTCTCCGTGCTAGGCCCGTCTGGCTCCCGGGAGGGGGCGCAGGGGCCGAGGGGTGGGAGGACTCACACGTAGATGAGCTCGGACTCCCGCCGCACCAGCAGGTGCTTCTCGTGGATGAGCTTGAACCAGTCCACCAGCATGTCGTCCTCGCGGCCCTCTGGAAGCAGACGCCCACGAGGCCGCGGTTGGCTGCAGGTCCCACCCTCCGAGGAGGCTCCCCGCAGCGAGGGAGTCTCCGGCCACCCCCCTGGCCCCGCCTCCGCCAGGCCCACCCAGCAGCCCTCGAACCATTCACGCCGCTGCGCAGCTTCTCCTCCAGCAGAACCCCACGGAGCTCCAGGGCATCCAGCTGGCGCTCGATGGTGTCCACCTCTCCGTGGATGTCTTCCTCAGGGATGTACTGGTCAGCCTGGACCTGCCCGACAGCGCCCAGGTCACCACCCCTCCTGCCCGCC